CTCCTCCTCCTCCTCCTCCTCCTCCTCCCCCCCCCTCCTCCTATGGAAGGCCTCATGCAGCCACCGTCCCAAAGGACCAGATGCAGGCGTGGTTCGACCCGTGGGCCAGCAGACCTGACCCGCGAGGTGGTGCAAGACGTGCCTGGCCTGGAATACAGTCGGGGCGTTGACCTAAGGAACCCCAAATAAGGAACGAGGCCCCTTTGTTCCACAAGGTAAACTTCGTTTTCCTATCGAAAGCATAAGGGAAACCTGAGGCAAGCTGTGAAACACTTAAGGAACGCGGAGCCCCTCCCCAACCAAAAGGGTTCCTTCTTCAGGGCCCCGACTGTACGCGAACGACTGGCAGCAGCACCCAAGAGCGCGAGATGGCAGCAACGAAGAGGGGTCATGGGCGCACTCATGCTGCAGCTGTGGGAAATCGGCTGGGGCGCAAAGAGAGCGGGCTTCTGGGAGGACGCTGATGGGGGAGGCTGGCAGCTACAACCAGACGACGGCAACGACGACCCAACGGAGCTGCTGGACGCGATCACCGAAGACCTCAAAAAGAAGGCTTGGACACGCACCAGCATGCACTACAACGGAGCTGGGCTACAACATGGGGCAGATACATACGACCTGAAGATGCAGCTGAGGCACCTGAGGAAGTACGGGGAGAACCAAACTTTCGGATCGACACGCGCGGCAGCTTGCGCAGGAGCGTGGTCACCGCAGAGGAGGAGAGACACATTCGGCGAAGACAAAAGCAATGTGTGCGAGTGCGGGGAGGTCGCCGACGACTTCCACATCATCTGGGGACATTGCAGCTGCAGAAGCAACCGCAGCATCTACAGGAAGATCGAACATTTGGCAAATCGAGCAGAACAGGGGCGAGGAGAACATGCAGCATTCTGGCTGGAAGGAATTCCGCCCAGACCCTGGACTGCGCCGCCGATGCGTGAGACGGAATACCAGCCGAAGGGAACAGGCAAGGCGAAAGGCATCACCAACGAGGACACGGGCCAGAAACTCATCGAAACGAATGGACACCTGATCGCATGCGAAGGTGGAATCGGAGGAGCACACGGAGACGACGCACGATATTCAAGGGGCCCAAGGACACACAAATAAATACACACACACATAAGATAATCCCCCATAGTTTCCCATGTTTACTGGGTGTTTTGTCTTCCCCCCACACTTCCCATATGTTCCCATATCTTCTGGGGGATCGACGATGAATTGTGTCTGTGTGTGTTTCCCCCTCCTGAGATATAGGAGGTGCGGATGGAGCTGGGTCGGCATGGAGATGGTCAACTCTGAGTGGAATGCGACGGCTGAAGTCGCAGGGCCGCCCGCAGGCAGCAGACAATGCGTCGACAGGGCGGAGACCACGGCGTTCCTGGACCGCCTGCAGGTCGACGGAGGGAGGCCTGCTCTTCTGCACCGACTCGGAGATCCAGTGCAAAGGCTGGAACGCAAAGAGGTACACCCTGCGAGATGCTTAAGAAATCATGGGTTAAGAAATTGATAGTCTCAGAATTTGAATAAAAACCCAGAATTCCTTTCGAAATCTTAGGAATTAAATTGAAACATTAAGAATCATCGAGACTCTGGCCGAAAACTCAAGTTTTCTTGAGCATCGCCTCAGGTGTACAGTCATCGGCCTGACCAAAGGAACGATAGATAAGGAACGAAGCCCCTCTCTTCCGAGGAATAACGCACAGGGAACGATGAACAGACAATAAATAGCGCATAGGGAACGATGAATAACGCATGCAAGCCTGAGGAACGACCAAGCCCCTTTTGAAAAGTAAGTGTTCCTTATTCAAGCCGCTCACTGTACCTCCTCACGGGCTACAAGAAGGCGCGCGGGGACCCACGGAAGAGGATCAAGCAGCGGCTGGACACCAGGGCCGACGCGGATGTCCAGGTGCGACACGCCGGGAGCCACGTGGCGCGGCGGAACTGGCCGGAGACAGGAGGATGCCTGTGGAAGCATGGCGCGGCAGCCAGCGTGCTGACGCACCAGCGGGAGAAGCGGCGGCCACCCACGAGATCTCGGGCGCGCAGGCGAGCTGCTACGATTGGGCACGGGCGACGGCGCACATGGTAAGAGCTCGGACCGGACAGGCATATAAAGAGCAGCTCGAAAGCACGAAGCCGGTGTCCTGGGAGGAGAGGGAGGAGGCCAGAAGTAAAAGGAAGAACGTAGAAGTGGAGAAGACCTTCGGGGAGCTAGAGAAGGCATCGCCACACATGATGGTCCGTAAAGGAAGAGCGATGGAGTGCACGGCCTGCAACGAGTCGGTCGGGGTCAACCACAGGTCGAAGGCGGCGATATGGTGATTGATGAGGTGCCATGCGGACGATGCAGGAGACAGAGCTGACAGAAGGGGACCCGCAAGCAGATGCCTGGTGCTCAAAGGCAAACTATCGCACGCGGCGCACGCCATATGCTGGTCGAGACAGCAAGCCAAGTACTTCTGCTGGCAATGTGGAGCCACCGCGGGAAAGCACCTGAGCGGCAACAGGATAAAGGCGTGCGAAGGATGGCCTAGCGGGAAGGCATCACAGTATGCATTGAAAGCCCTGAGAAAGGACAGGACAGCCAAACCCAATGTCGAGAAGTATGGCAGGGACGTCTCGAGTCAGAACGCAGGGAGGACCCTCCGCCCCGCCGTTGAGAGAAGGCTCAGCGGGTAACTTGGAGGGTGGCGTCGTACGCTTTGCTGACGGTAGAGCCTCGAGTGAGAACGCAGAGGGGTCCCTCCGCCGAACCCTCGAATCAGAACGCAGGGGGGCCCTCCGCCCCGCCGCCGAGAGAAGGCGCAGCGGCGAACTTGGACGGTAGCGTCGTACGCCTTGCTGGAATTATATATGGCCGCCTCGAGCAGGAGGATCACAAAGAAGAGCGGCACGCGCCAGGTCCAGAACACGTACGAGGAGATGAGCACGGAGTGCAAGAAGGACACACACACACACCAGGTCAAGTACAGTCGAGGCGTTGACCTAAGGAACCCTAAATAAGGAACGAAGCCCCTTTTTTCCATAAGTTGAACTTCGATTTCGTATCGAAAACCTACGGAAAATCCAAGGCAAACTGCGAAAAAATTAAGGAACACGGAGCCCCTCCCCAACGAAAAGGGTTCCTTCGTCAGGGCCCCGACTGTATACGAACGCGGAGTCGAACAGCGAGAAGGATGTGAAGAGCGTCGACAAGGCCAAGTTCACAGACGAGGAGGGGAAGATGGCCAATTGCGAGCAGGACGACAAGTGCATCGGAGCCACGGAGAAGCATGCTGACTAGGAGCACTCCGTGGACCCCGACGACGCAGAGGCGGCGGCATCGTGCGAAAATCCTGAGTGCAGGGGCCGCAGCCAGGCCAAGCTCAAGGACGAGAAGAAGAAGCTGACGGACTGCATGCAGGACGTCAAATATCGGGAGCGGCCAAGAGGGGGGTGTCCAAGAGGGGAGGGTGCAAATCATGACCGGCGGCATGTGCGCCGCCCAGCGGGGGGCCGGGGACGTAATGAAACAAGAAGAGGCGCCCTGAGATCTGGGGAAAAATCATGGCCCACGCCATGATATCCATCCCCCCCTAGTCATCACCCCCCTCTTTTCCGCCCCCGAGAATGAATACATTGGGGCCACGGAGGTGCCGGCGGACAAGCAGCACTCCGCGGACCCCGACGGCGCAGAGGCGGCGGCCCTGGGCTGGAGCCCCTGAGGGCAGGGGCCGCCGCCGGGCCGACCGCCTATAGACCGCCGGCAGACCGCTCACACACGTCGGGGACAAAATCCTGCTGTATCCCCCCCTCCCAGGGATCGGATCCGAGGTCACCCGACTGACTACCTGGCAGACCACCCCAACCCGACCCGAAGACCCGAATCTCGGGTTGGGGGGGGTAAGGGTTCCACATGTGTTTTTTCCCATGTTTCCCGACCCCCCCCACACTGGAAATCGAGGGTAAATCTGAGCCTTCGGGTCGGGTTGGGGTGGTTTGGTGGGTGGTGAGACTTCGCCCCGTCGCGCCCTCGCGGCGCGCGGCCATCCTCGCCGCCCCGCGCCACCACCCCGGGGGGGGGGGGGGGGCTCTGGCCGTGCTCTCTGTCTGCCCCCCGAGCGGCGTCCGCAGACCGCCGTGGCCACAGGAAGCGCCCCCCCGAGGGCCAGCGGAGAGAGCAGCGATCGGGCTCTGCTCGACGAGGGGCGACGGGCGGCGGGGGGGGGGAAGAGCAGGGCTCGACCCAGGCAGTGAGCTTCGTCTCCGTGTCGTGTTCGTTTGCCCCTCGTCCTGGCTCAAACCTGGCCCTGCTGCACCACGCCGTCAAACCGAGAGCGGCCCACGACACCGCCACAACACCGTCTCGGTCGACCCCTGGCAGCCAGGCACGTGCACCCTGTTGTGCACCTTCGGCGCCCCAGAAGGGGCCCCTGGAGGGCCCCCTCCCGGCAGCCCTCGGCCCCCCAATTCGTTTCCCCCCCGCCCCGACCATGACTCACTGGCAGGACCACCCCCCTACCCAGCCCCCGAAGACACCACTGCCTCGGATGCTCCCCCCGACGCCGCCCCCGCGGGGAGTGGAGGGCCGCACTGGGGCCCTCGGGCTGGGTCGGGGCGGGTCCAGTGAACGGGCGAAGAACGGCGTAAGATAAACTTTTTCGCTGTCGGGGGCGCCTGTCCCTGGGCGGCTGGAAAGTTTATACCCTTACGGTGGCACCGTAGGGGTATAAACTTTCCAGCCGCCCAGGGACAGGCGCCCCCGACAGCGAAAAAGTGTATGTCATACCGTGCTTCGCTCGCTGATTCAGGAGCGGTGCAAAAGCACGCAACGCTGGAGGCGAGGAGGAGCGAGGGCGAGTGCCCCGTGGACCGTGGGCCGCCGCTGGCCACCGCGCGCTCCGCGAGGGGGCCCGGGGCCGACGACGCGATCCTGCGGCCCCGCGCGCTCCGCCGGCCGCGAGCAGCGGCGGCCCCCGCCGGCCGCGCGGTGGGAGGGGCGCCGAGCCCCGGGCTTCAGGAGCTCGCGGATCTCCGAGTGCCTCCGGGGCTGCCATGCTGCGGCTCCTCCTCCTCATCAGCATGCTGTACCGTATTATTACCATTATTATTATTATTATTATTATTATTATTATTATTAGTATTATTATTATTATTATTATTATTATTATTATTATTATTATCATTATTAGTATTATTAGTATTATTATTATTATTAGTAGCATTATTATTAGTATTATTATTCTAATATTATTATTATTAGGATTATTATTACTATTATTATTATTATTATTATGATTATTATTAATAATAATCATAATAATAATTAGTATTACTATTGTTATTATTATTATTCGTGTATCATTAGTATCATCATTATGTTGCTCATGCTGATTCATCGTATTATCATGTTGGATAGTTCTATTAGTGCATGACGGTTCTGATCAATAGTGCCATCGTTCGTATGAGTTGTTATTGCTTTTGTTTATTATTGATAGTACTACTACTCGTTGGTGGTATTGAAAAATCATATGATTATTCCGCCGCCATCCTCCATCCTCCTCCTTCGCCATCTTCCCTCCACCCCCTCCGCCTCCTTTTCCTTCTCATCCTTCTCTCCTCCCTCCTCCTCCTGTTCCGTCGTGTTCGTCTTGCGCCTGCTGCTCTTCTGGTTCACCCGTCCTCCTTCTGCTCTTCTTGTCACTGCTTCCGTAAGCGGTTGCTCTTCTTTGCATCCCCTAGAATCGCCTCTCCGCCCCCTTCTTCTCCACCTCCCACCCCCCTTCCAAGCCTCCTATTCCTCCTTCTCCTCCTCCTCCTCCTCCTCCTCCTCCTGCTCCTCCTCCCTCCCTCACTCCCTTCCTCCCGCCCTTCCTTCCTCCCTCCCTCCCTCCCTCCCTCCCTCCCTCCCGTCCTCCCTCCCTCCCTCCCTCTCCGAAGCGCACTCCCCGCACCCCGGGCGGTGCCGCATCAGCTTCGCTCGCGCGCGCTCCAACACGCTGATCTCGTTGGTTTCGAACACCTGGATGTCGCGCAGCCTGGGCACCCAGCGGTGCCAGGGCCCTCAGCGTGGTCGTCGTCGTCGTGTCGTCGTCGTCGTCGTCGTCGTCGTCGTCGCCGTCTCCTGTCCCACTCCTCCTCCTCCTCCTCCTCCTCCTCCTCCTCCTCCTCCTCCTCCTCCTGCTCCTCTTCCTCCTCCTCCTCCTCCTCCTGAGGACCTAGTGTCGGGATTCGTGGCCTTGGTGTTCTTGCTCTCTCTGTTCTGGAGCACAGTATGTTGTGTCTCGATGTCGGTGAGTCCAGACTAGCGGAGGCCAAGTTCGAGGCTTCCGCCAAGCGTGCGTGCCAATGCCTCAGAGGGGGACTCGGGGCCGAAACTATGGCACTGTTGGAGCCTGGTCTCGTCTGGCAAGCCCCCACGCGTCGCGGTGTAACAGCGTCGGCCCTTCGGGCGAGAAGGTGTAGGATAGGAGGAGGAGGAGGAGGAGGAGGAGGAGGAGGGAGCAGGAGGAGGAGGAGGAGGAGGAGGAGGAGGAGGGAGCAGGAGGAGGAGGAGGAGGGAGGAGGAGGAGGAAGAGGAGGAGGAGGAGTCCCCTCTCCCTCGGCCGTGCCCCACCCCCGGAGGGAGGGGGAGGGGGAGGATAGGGGCAGCTCCTGTGTGCTCCGCACGGTGGCCACTTCGCTACGGTTGCTGGAATCACTGGGGGCTGGCCAACGAGTTCGAGGAGCTGTCCCCGAGGCTGGCTCTGATCAGAAGCCGTGTCTTGTGTGCCTGCCTGCGTGGGAGTACGGCTGTCTCAGGCCGACCTGGCACATCCTTCCCTTGCTCGCGCGTGCCGTCGTCGTCCATGCCTTCCCCATCGGAGGCACTCGCCTCCAAGGGTTCGACCCAGTCGACGCTCCAGGCTGTTGTTCTTGAGCAGGCGCGCCTGACCGTTCTGTTCCCCTTCGGGCTTCGCCCACCCGCATGAGGTGGATGTGGGCAAGTGGTGCCGTTGACAGCAAAACGTCCGCCTCCTCCTCCTCCTCCGTCCTCCATCCTCCTCCTCCGCCTCCTCCTCCTCCTCTGTCCTCCTCCTCTTTTCATTGCATCTGCGGCCCCATGCGCAGCAGGAGGGCGAGCCATTCGACGCGGGAGAGGCAGCCGAAGGCGTGCGCGGCGGGCGTCCTCCTCCTCCTCCCGCCTCCTCCTCCTCCTCCCGCCTCCTCCTCCTCCTCCTCCCGCCTCCTCCTCCTCCTCCACAGCCCAGAAGAGCAGGGCCCACCTCCGAGAAGCTGCCCAGCTCTGCAGAGGAGCCTGTGGAGCCCCAGCGCCCCCGAATCCAGCGCGCCCTCCCCTACGAAGCACGACGGCACGCGTTTTGTGCCACGTGCCTGGTCCTCCTCGGACCCGAGGGCCCGCAGTGGCAGAACCAGGGCCCAGGGGCGGGCCAACGGCGAGGTTGCTGAACGACGAGGACGACGATGACGACGAGTGCGGCGAGGACGACGAGGACGACGAGGACGACGAGGACGTCGACGACGACGACGACGCGGACGACGACGACGACGACGACGACGACGACGACGACGACGACGCCGACGTCGCCACGGCCCGAGCCCGCCAAGGGAGCCAAAGCGCAGGAACTCGCGAGCCACACCTCCCCTGCATGCTCCAAGCTGCGAGTGGGTCGAGCGAGCTCGGCACAGCGAATTGCGGGAAGACGCGAGCCCGTTGGCCCGTCTACAGGGGGGGTGCAAGAACAGTCCTGGGTCGAGACTACACGTCGTTCATTTCTCATCGTGCTCGTTTCCATGTGTGCTCGTTTCTGACTGCTCCTGGCCCCCTCGTGGCCAGGAAGAGGCCCAGGGTAGAACAGTTAGAAATGAAAGGGTCTTGGCCCCCCCCCAAAAAAAAATCAGTGAACTTTCGAGGAAGACGTAAATACGAATGCAACAAAACGAGACTGTCAGAGGAACACTGACAATGAAAAAAACGAATGCAAAGCAACACGAGACGAAACAATGAAAACATCAAAACTTCCAGAGAAATATGAGACGAATTCTCGAAGACTTCAATACGAACCATGTCCTCCTCCTCCTCCTCCTCCTCCCTCCTCCTCCTCCCTCCTCCTCCTCCCTCCTCCCTCCTCCTCCTCCTCCTCCTCCTCCTCCTCCTCCTCCCCCTCCCCCTCCCTCCGGGGGTGGGGCACGGCCGAGGGAGAGGGGACTCCTCCTCCTCTTCCTCCTCCTCCTCCTCCTCCTCCTCCTCCTGCACCCGTGCACACATCCATTCGGAGGCCTAGGAGTCAAGAGAAACCGGCCGCTGCGGTTCCCGCTCAGCCCTCGAGGGAGGCCTGGGTGCATGCTGCCCCCATCGTACTTCACGGCTACCTTCAAGTCGGGCGTGTCACCCCTACAGGGGGATTGTCGACGACAAATAAAAAATACCCCAAAAGTGCCCCCCCCAAAAGGTCAAACCATACTCAACAAATAGTCCCCAGGTTATTTTTGGGGCATTTTTTGTTTCTCGTCGAAAATCCCCCTGTAGGGGGACAGGCCCGACTTAAAGACTACCTACCAGACCACCCCAACCCAACCCGAAGACCCGAATTTCGGGTTGGGGGGTATGGGTTCCATGTGTTTTGTTCCATGTTCCCGGGCCCCCCCCCCCACTGGAAATGCAGGGCAACTCGGGGCCTTCGGGCTTGGTTGGGGTGGGTTGGTGGGTGGTGACTTAAGGACCAAGTCCCAGAAATAATTTCGAGCACCCATCAGCATCAAAACAGTGTCGAAATAATCTCGCTTCCCGGAGCCCGACGCGTGAGAACCCTGCAGCTTCGGTGCTCGAAACTCTTCCTGGCGATCAAGGCTAACGTAAGCTGGGACATCATAGCTCCAGGACCTGTTTCTCGTCACGGGCCGATCTCTGACGGTTTCGGGCCCCCGGGCGTCGCTGGAAACGACCATGTATCTTTTTGTCACAGCGACTGCGACGATGACTGCGACGGCGATGGCGACGGCGTGGGCCGACACCCGAGCCTCTCCTGGAAAGCGTTGTGACCAGAATTTCGAGACGGATCCGGCCATGACGGCGAGGCCCGACACTCTGCAGGTAGTTCTAGGAAGGCTTGAAACTGGTCAAACACCTACAACATTTCGATCTGTCTCATCCTCCTCGAGCCTCGAACCTCGATTCTCGATCCACCATGCTCGGCAACGACGACGAAGACGACGACAACGACGACGACGACGGCGACGGCGACGAGAACAATAACAAGAACAATAACAACAACAACAACAACAACAACAACAACAACAACAACAACAACAACAACAACAACAACAACAACCACAACCACAACCACAACAACAACAACAACAACAACAACAACAATCACAACAACAACAACAACAACAACAACAACAACAACAACAACCACAACCACAACCACAACCACAACAACAACAACCACAACAACAACAACAACAACACCAACAACAACGCAAGGACACTCTCTCAGGCCACCCCGGCGGGACCCGTGGGAGTGTCCTCGCCCCCGGGGCGAGCGCACTGCCCCAGGCCACACGTTGCAGTTGTTGCCCCGGGGGGGGGAGCAACGCGCAACACTTCTGTCATACGCTAACGTAAATCTATATGTGTTTCCGAATCTCCGTTGGCACCCGTACTGTTCCCCACGCACTCCTGTGACCGAAAACCGACCACGCGCCAGCGAGGCCAGCTCCTCCTCTTGTTAGGACTCCGATGGAATCGTGCAGGACCATGTAAGGATCCTATAGGATCCCTATAGGACTCCTATGGAATCGTGCAGGACCCTGTAAGGATCCTATAGGACCCCTATAGGGTTCCGATGGGATCCTGCTGGACCTCGTAAGGATCCTATAGGATCCCTCGAGGGTTCCTATGGGATCGTGCAGGACCCTGTAAGGATCCTATGGGATCCCCATAGGGTTCCTATGGAATCGTGCAGGACCGTGTAAGGACCCTATGGGATCCCCATAGGGTCCCTACGGAATCGTACAGGACCCTGTAAGAATCCTATAGGATCCCTATAGGGTTCCGATGGGATCCTGTTCGACCTTGTAAGGATCCTGTGGGGTGAAGCACGGTGTCCGAAGTGAAGCCTCGGTGGAGCCCCCATATGTGGCCAGGGCCACGATCCGTGAGAGGGGTGCGCCGAAATCAAACTTCGGTGGAGCTGCCTGTGGGGCCAGGGCCACGATCCTCGAGAGGGGTGTGCCGAAATGAAACCTCGGTGGAGGCCCCTGTGGGGCCAGGGCTGCGGTCCGTGAGAGGGGTGCGCCGAAATCAAGCTTCGGTGGAGCTCCCTGTGGGACCAAGGCCACGATCCTCGAAAGGGGTGTGCCGAAGTGAAACCTCGGTGGAGCTGCCTGTGGGGCCAGGGCCACGATCCGTGAGAGGGGTGCGCCGAAATCCACCTTCGGTGGAGCTCCCTGTGGGGCCAGAGCTACGATCCTCCAGAGGGGTGTGCCGAAATGGAGCCTCGGTGGAGCTCCCTGTGGGGCCGGGGCCACGATCCGTGAGAGGGGTGCGCCGAAACCAAGCTTCGGTGGAGCTCCCTGTGGGGCCAGGCCCACGATCCTCGTGTTGGGGGGTGCGAAAGTGAAGCATCGGTGGAGCCCCCTATGGGGCCAGGGCCACGATCCGTGAGAGGGGTGCGCCGAAATCAAACTTCGGTGGAGCTGCCTGTGGGGCCAGGGCCACTATCTTCGAGAGGGCTGTGCCGAAGTGAAGCCTCGGTGGGGCCCCCTGTAGGGCCAGAGCTACCATCATCGAGAGGACTGTGCCAAAATCAAGCTTCGGTGGAGCTCCCTGTGGGGCCAGGGCCACGATCCTCGAGAAGGGTGTGCCGAAATCAAGCCTCGGTGGAGCTCCCTGTGGGGTCAGGGCCACGATCCGTGAGAGCGGTGCGCCGAAATCAAACTTCGGTGGAGTTCCCTGTGGGACCAGGGTCACGATCCTCGAGAGGGGTGCGCCGAAATGAAGCCTCGGTGGAGGCCCCTGTAGGGCCAGGGC